AGGGAGTATATTATCGCGCGCTGAAACGGCGAATTTTTCTCCCATGCGCTCCCAACTCACCTAGCCTACTACTCGTGAAAACTCCACTTTCACCACAAACTCACATGTACTTTCACGCGACTGAAGCGGATACGACCCCCCCCCTCTCTATAACTCAACCAGGTACGCGCCCCTTGTACAAGATACCTCCAGCAGAAACCACCGAGTTACGGGCCGCAGCAGTGTCGGCAGCATATGCTGCCGACACGCCCACTCGTCCGTGATTGGCTACCACCACAAAGGTTACTGTGTGCAGACACGAGCCAGCCAGTCAGAGACTAGTGGGCGTGTCGGCAGCATATGCTGCTGGAAGCGACCGGTTCAAGTGGAAGCAATTTTTACTTGCTTCAACCTGAACCGGTAGCGTGATTTTCTCGACCTATTTACAGGAGTGCAGATCGCTAAGACCATTACTCTGAATGTGGGAACCCTTACCACTATGTAATTCAAACAATCTCGTTATGCTCAACGATCCTAGCCCACTTCGGTCTCGAAGTTGATCAGCCCCACCTCGCGTATGGTTCGCTGGGCAAAATCTTATTCGTGAAGAAAACTGACCTGAAGTAATGTGGTATTTTAGAGTGTACTGGTCCAATTGCACAAAAAAAACAGGTTACATTTTGGTGAGGTTGGTCTGTTCTTTAGTGTTCAAAATGGAAGAAAGAGGCGATTTTTCGGCTCCCCACCGCTTCCCCTCCAAACTCTTGAATAAACCTTAGGAATACTTCAATCATTCTGTATCTATATTTCCTAGTTTAGATCAGCAGCGTGGAGATGTAGCTATAAGGAATGTCAACATCGAGAGAGCTTTCAACGACTTTTCGCCTGTACGACGGGTGGACCAAAGTAGATCTGGTGTGGGAAGAAAGCTTCGCTACGGTGATGCTTGAACTGATCAGCTGTCTGGGGAGCTTATTCTGCACATAGTTTGTAATACAGATGCTTTGAACGTGTTTGATGAATCCTGACGTCTTTCATTCTTTTCGGTAAAATTGTTTCCCTTTCTAGCTGCAACATTTAACTTTACAGGGCCTCTACTGTTATTCCTTGTATTTGCAGGACATCTCACTTGTATTGCTGCTTGAAAAGTCCATTAAACTTTTCTCCGTGATTTATTACTTTCGGTTGAATTTCATATTTATTTACAAGCCTCTGATTGCCCCATCATAAGCATTGCTACCTTTTTTAACCCACTGCGAACCGGCGCTATGTAAACCCTCCGTGGCTTTCCGCAGTCTGTTTGATCAGTCTCCAATCGTCCATCTATGCTTTAAATAGTGTGTAAATATGTGACAGTTTTTGTGCTCGAAGAAGGTAAAGATGACTCTGTAACTCAGAAAAATGCCATGTAAATCGAAAAACCCTTGAGTGCGGCGGTGTAGTATGGTTATGAACGCTCGCAATCTGAGGTCGTTCTTGTACGGTCCCCCTTGAGCCGTCTTGATAAGGTACTCTTTTAGCGTGAACATGAACCCTAATAAACTCTAACGCGCTCCAATAACAACTGCTCGCATCTGCGTCGCGCAATATGTCAGAGTTGGAGCACTCTATTTATCTATTGGACAAGAGTAGCAAGGAAAAGGGGGAGGTGGATGTGAGGAGGGGTACTATTAGGTTGGAAAGAAAGTCCTGCAACACTCTTCTAAAATTTTCTTTTTTTCTGAAAAATTCATAGGTAACATTTATGACTAACAAATGGTAGAGCATTCTCGAGGCTTCAATCCACGAGGTGGATATAAGTGCTGCAGTCAGTAGTTATCCAAGAAAATTCAAAAAATCTCGACCACTAGCCTTCGTATAGAATATATGGGGCTGCGGAATTGTACTCTTATAGGTATTCCCTGTCGAGCTGTAAACGACTTGCACTATTTTCCCCTGGACTTAATTCATGCATCTGGACGGGCGAAATAATAGACGAACAATCCATCGAATTGAGGTGCCTCCTTCATTGACCGCATCGGCTGCGGTTTTGGCAAAGCAGCATCAAGAAATTTTCCTAAGCGTTAGACAAGTTTTTAGTGGACTAGTATCAACGCTAGATATGGTGACGATCGCGAATTGTAAACAAAAGATAACTCGAAATGAATTTGGAAAAGTGTTGCAGGATTTTTTCCAATTAATATCTATGTGCAGGTGGAGGAAAGAACGTGTTTCGCGAGCGATTTTCAAAGTTTCGCAATCAGATTTTCTCCAAAATTATCTCAACCCAGAACCGCTGCCGAAGGTCAGGATTTTGAGCTTTCTAATGAAGACGAATCATTTTTAAGGTTAATTTCCTAATAATTTCTCAAGCGCCCGTTTTTTAATTTTCTTTGTTTTCGGCTATTTTCTGAGCTTGCGTGTGTTTTCAAACTTTCAACAGTCAGAACTTCCTTTAAAATAGCGTCTTTTTTGAAAACTACTAGATCTGGGCTTTCTGATCACAGCTAAAATCACTTCTTACGAATAAGTGAGTAAGATGTCAACTCTTCAACTTCATTGCAATTCGCTTGATTTAGTCGAAGATGGCCCTAAAGCAAGTTTTTACGTTCAAGACAAATCAACTGAAAACTCAAACACTGGGATGCGCCACGCACAATTTCTGTGATTTAGAGTAGGAGGGATTTGTTCATTCCCTGTTGAAGCAGTTTGTGAGAGCCCGCCATTCTTATTCCAGTTCTACTATGATAGATGCTAAGGCCGATGTCAGACTTTGCGAATCGCGCGATTCGCTAGCGTCTGCGGTCGCGTCGCGGCCAGTGAATCACTCAATTGGCTGGTACCGCAACGCGACCGCGGACGCTAGCGAATCGCGCGATTCGCAAAGTCTGACATCGGCCTAATGTGGCATCTAGTTTCGCTCAAAGCGCTTTACTTGATATTGCTTCATATTCTCCTTGTATTCCAGGTAAAACGTTCTACAAAGAAAACAAAAGGAAGGTCGACTACATTTTCACATCCGGCCATCTGCTCCTCCAGTAACCGGGATACGGTCGCTGGCCCCGGCGTACGACCTTCCGCATCTCAGCAAGCCAATTAAGACTCCTTCATAACTCGGCTGACAGTTGACCCTACTAGATCCTCAAAATTCTTACATACACATATGAGGCCAAGAAAGCACAAGAACGATGAAAGAAACAACCACCTGGCCATGTACCCGTGAAGAGCGTTATTTTCTCTTCTATTGCAACACTCTTTTCGCCTCAGATCGCTAGCAAGAAGTTTTGTAGTTGCCTTCTTGAAACCTTTGTAACCAACTCCACAAACTCTTTCATTTCTCCTGTCAGGCTCTTAAAGGCGGAGTTTACGATGAAAAGGCAGCCCATTAGAATTCAATGTAGATGATCAGTGGTGCAGGGATGAAGAAAAAACCATGAGAAACGGCCAGAACCCGAGAAATGGACCCCTTCTTGCCATTGATTTCCGCATTGATGCGACTCTCATCGGTGCTGCCCTCTTCAACGCTAACGCTCTCTCTGCTAAACGGCTAGAGGCTCAGACGGACGGCAAGAGGGTGGGCGCGCCGCGCGATAGCGGCGCGGAGACGGCCATGCTAGATCGCCGGGCATATCCTTTTGCTGCGAATCGCGTATCGGTTCGCACCCTTAGGCCCTTAGGGAGTCCACCTGTCCTCCACTAGGTATATTTGATTTTCTTCGACCTTCGTTCTCATCGTGAATCTTCTATAAAGGCTATACCTATTTTGACAGACCCTTCACATTGTTTCAGAGGGCTCGTAAAGTCACCGGTGGTGAACATGACTTGAAGCGGACGGCTCCAGTACGCGTCAGGGATACGTACAGACAGACTTTGTTTCGTAATATGAAGTGCAGTCGGCATCCCAAACCACACACTAGTAGGGGCGCCATAAACATGTTTCAACAAGATTGACGAGAATTTCAAAGAACATGACACTATTTGTGCATTAAGTTAATATCTATTAATATTTAGAAATCTGTCTTGGTCACAAATGCCGTGTTCACTTTCAATGGTAACGCGCTGCAATGCCAAGGTCGCGACGCAGCCGCGTGCATCACATGTTGTGGTTTGGCGCGAATTTGACATGTTCGAGCATCCTGTTTTGTCGTTTTGTTGTCAACATGTTTTGTTGCATTCGATCACTTCTTGTCGTGTTTACTCATATTGGTCTTTTTACAAAGTACATGGTTTCTGGAACACAAGGAAATCACCTTCATTGCAGCTAGCTCAAACTGTTCCGTATTGTGGGCATTGTAAGCAGGCCGGTACGTGAAGGTTTCTGGTGTTTCAAACAATTCAAGCGGCCCACTCTTAACATCACCTATCGTGTTCTGAATGATTTCAACAAAGGAGAATATGGAGCAAGCTGACGAGTGGACTCCGAATTCCAGGTACTTCACGTTCCATTAATTCTTTTTTGTAAATTACAATAATTGTTTTGCGTGGCTAAAGTGGTTTCTTCAGGGTCCCATATTTGGAGCTGGCCAAAACCCTCGAAAAGATTGAAGGTGAGAGCAAGCGGTAAGTCAGTTAGTTATGGCACATGCATATGTAACAGCTTGTCTAGTTGTGTATCTTATTCGAACAGTTTGATTAAGGGGAATTCGGCTAAATCATTGTGTCATCCAGTAAGACGGGGCGGCACTATTGCACTAATTCACAACCCTAGTAGCGGCAGAGTGGGTCAAAATTTTACTCGCTTGAACTTCCCCTATGGAGTTGATCGAGGATGTTAAATCATGGATATAACAGCCAATCTCGGCGGAGGTAAGCAAATTGGCGCCATTTGGCGCCAGGTGGCGCCACTACTGGTTATCACCAAATTCGCTGTTAACTTGTGTATAGGGGTTATTTGGGGCCATGATTACGAATATGATGTCTGTTTTTGTCGTTGGCATTATTCGGCGAGATTTCCTGCTTGCCTCTGCCCTCTAACTAATTAGCTCCCAAGGACTAGGCCTCTGGAGAGGGGAGGGCTCCAAATTGAGTAAGCAATTCAACCTGCTTACATTTCCCGTTTTGCACACGTTGTGTGACTTACTTTTACGGAGTTCCATCTCCCCTACCCTAAGCATAGCCTTAGAGGCTATAAGTGCGAGAGCCAAGAAAAGCAGAAAATTAAACGGCGCGAATGCTAAAATCGAATGTCATATTTGTAAGCAGGACCTCAAATAACCCACACAACAATTCGGCACCACCGCTGAAAAATGGATGATATTTCTGATCAGGAGCCTCGATAACACCCATAGAAGAAGCTTCAGCAAAAATTTTTTGACCCACCTCACTCCCACTGGAGTTGTAATAGTGCAATAGTGGCAACTCTTTCATTGTATTCGGTTTTTATAGAACGAAAATCATCGATGTTCTCGCTGGTTTTTTCACAAAGGTCATAGAATATTCACCGGATGACCTGCTGAGCTGCGTATACCTATGCGTGAATCAATTGGGCCCTGCCTATGAAGGCATCGAACTTGGGATTGCTGAGCACACGATAATTAAGGTACGCTGATGATGCATTCAAGCTTAATGTTTGCCGTGGATCGTGTAGTAGCGTTTGTTAAGTACACAAACACCTCTACAATTTGTGCATTGTTCACAATCTTCAGTCATAGGTGTCTTGATCTTGTGCGTCCAACGTTTCCCCAATGTTCTTTGTTCTAGATTCGACTCTATTCTCTTTTTCGGACAAATGCGTTGTTGCTACGGAGCGTAAAAGACTTGCTCGTAACCTGAAGTAGACATTTGACAAGCAAAATCTTAATAGGGCATTTATTCTAACATTTCAACTTTTGCTTCCTTTTCACTACTGTAGTTAGCTTGAGAAGCTACTATGAAGCAGATTATCATCTCAATCATCTCACGCTTTCACGGGAAGCTGCTCCATTTCCATTCAACGGAAATGGGTCCTTCTCACCAAAGCTCCAGCTGTCGCTGTGCGCACAAGGATCGTTTGGTCCTTAGCGTGGTTTCAAGCGATCTCTTGCTGCAGCGAACCATTTGTCATGAAGACGTTTACCAGGTTCGGGTGTAGCTAGCGAGGACAGAAAGTGACTCCGTGTCCACGAAACTTTCCTAAGTCAAGCTGCTGGTGCAGAAGTGGACTCCGAAGACATTCAACTAGCGACCAAGTCCGGCTGCGAAAGCAAAGGACGCTTTGTGTCCTTAGCAACCTCAGCCAGGGATGCGATTTGCGTGTACTTTCACTCATAGTTCAGCAGTATACCGGGCTAAGATCAGCGCTATAGTCCTTTTTCAGGGTTTTATTTTTATTTTTTCTGTAAGAAATTTTAAGTGCTCTCCCCTTCAGGCTGTCGCGCAAGCTACAGGCAGGACAGTGGCAAGGATCAAGGAAGACATGCAAAAGAAAGGCGATTTGGGTGAGTGTCTTGATTTCATTTTTTAAGTTCCTCTTTGCCAAGCTTTTTTTTACAAATAGTTTTGTGCGTGAAAGCGTTATGAGACCATTGATCAACCTGTTTTTGTTAGTTTTTTGATTTCTTATTTTAACCTTCGATCAACTACGCTAGCATCATAAGCTATTATGTTTCAGGAATTGTTGCACAACAGTCGCACCATAATCAGAAATCACTCGCCAGTACTTTTGGGTTCCGATCAAAGCCACATAGTGTACAAAATATTTTTAAAAAGTTAACGGAGATTGCCACGCTTACGGGCGCCGCGGTAAGTTTCTATGAAGCTTATGTCTGGTGATTTATGACTGCATTAACAGTTATTGCTTTAAAAATGAAATCTCGATTTATTTTCAGTCTATGAATAAGAAAGTTGAACTCATTAAAAGTCTCGTGGTCGGTTGCCGTGGGCCCGAAACGCGATACCTCGTTCGATCTCTTGGGGGAAAGCTTCGTATTGGACTTGCTGAACAGAGTGTTCTCGTTGCTTTAGCGAATGCTTTCACTACTCGGCATGTTAAGGAGAAAGGTAGTTTGTTGGGCTGTATTGCTTTACTTTCATTTTTTCTGTGCTGTATTCCTTTACATTTGCATCGATGTCACGTCTGTTAATAGTTCTTAAAAAGGTTTGCTGACCAGCCAGGAACAGTAGGTCAAATGGCTCTTTGGTATGAGGTATGTACTGCCTTCTGCGTACCATTACTGCGAAGATCTGCAGAACGACGTTATGAATTTACGAACGACTGTTGAGGAGAAAAACTCATGCTCAACATTTAAATTTGACAAGGCGAAAGTGCCCCAGTAGCTGAAAAAATACATGGTCGGCTTCAAGACTGCATGGTGGTGGCTTATTCTTGTATTGTTAAAGTTATTGCTCACCTGGAACAGATTGAGCTGCGTGCCTGCAGATCGAACCTAGAGACGCGATATCTCAAAAGTCCTAAAAGAACGGATGGAAGAGTGAGCCGCATACAGGGTCCGGTCCTATCATTGTACTCTGTAAATTTTCGACCCCCGCCCCAAGGGATTTGGTACGACCCCCTTTCTCGCCTGAACCATATTCTTTCTTGCTAGTGATTTATTAATTTAGTATCCACTAATCACAACTCCGCACTTTTTCCTTCCAAAAATAGTGCGTTCGAGCGGAGGGGGGAGGGAAGGGGGGAGGGGCGGTATTATCTTCCACCATTTTACCCCCTCCTACCTTTAATCCCACGCTTCATTTTCTAGGGGGGTATATATACGCGCGCTGAAACGGCAAATTTTCTCCCGCGCCACTCCTCCCTCACCTCATGCAACTTCTTACAATCGAAGCAAGTACGACCCCCCCCCTCTAAACCTCATCAAAATATACGACCCCCCCTCTAAAAACCCATCAAAATACGACCCCCCGTTGCTACTTGTAGCAACGTAGGACCGACCCTGACCGCATACTCCGTTTATTCGATAATGATCAGCAGTGAATCCAAGTAAAAATTCAAAATAATAACACTGCTCGAACGAGGGTCAGATAGATGTCACTCACATACAGATTGTGTTCTACCATACAGCCAAAAGATGTTGCACAGCGTAATTTATGCGAACCACAGCCGTATGATCCATGTTGTCTTCATTATAATAATAGATTTCACATATGCAAACACTTTTAATAATGTATTCTCATTATTGCCTTGTTCAAGGTCTGCAGCTTTCATCATCAAAATTGGAAGAACTTAAAGATGAACATGTATTGTTGCTGAAAACGACTTACTGGTTAGTCCTATCTAATTACTTTAATTTCCCTATATTTTTTCTTACAGTCAGTGTCCGAATTATGAGAAAATCATTTCCGTTGCATTCTCTGATGGTATAGAGAGCATAAGAGAGAAGTGCAAGCTAACACCAGGTACAAATTTGTGTTTTTCTTTATCACTTTTGTGTGTCTACTCTTCTTTATTTAGGTATTCCCCTCAAGCCTATGCTTGCTCATCCGACAAAAGGAATCGATGAAATCATGAAGAAGATTTGGTGAAGCAGAATTCGCTTGTGAATGGAAATACGACGGAGAACGTGGGCAGGTAAATGTTACATCGTTCGGTTTTGTACTACTCATTCTGGAGACGTTAATTGTTTCCCCGTTTTCGCTCTCATTTCCTCTCCTTCATATCACACGTCAAGTTTAACATTCCGTTTACAGATCCATATGAATGATTCTGGTGCTGTCTACATATACAGCCGCAATCAAGAAAATAACACTTCAAAATATCCGGACATTATTGATAAGGTGAATAAGCATCAACTATCGCAAAGTAGTAGTGATGAATTTCGACAGTCGTGCAGCTGGTCGCGCATGCGAGTATAAATAGTGTTAGGTTGCCGAAAGCTTTCCTCCGAACCTCTTTGGGAATATGTTGAATATGAACAAGCTAAAAGATCATGGAGGCCTAACGCTCGGCTCCTGTCATCGGGTTTCGTTTTCCTACTCTCAGAAGGTCAGAATTGTAATCTAAGGTGGTTTCAAGTACACCCCTGAACCAGGGTGAATATCGGTCGAGGATTCCTCAACGGCACGTCGAGGATTTTCGCCTGATCAGTTACGTTCTCCCGCGCGGACATTCACACTCGCCATGCGCGAGCCGTCTGTGCTCTCCGCGCGTACGTTCACTCTCGGCACTACTCTCGCACAGTACGGAGCCATGGTCGAGGATTTTCTCGACCGCTTATTGTACAGGCCAGGGTTGGCGCGGTAGGACGGCTAGGTATTACCAGCCGACCTCACCAGTGGTCGAGACGGGGAGCAGATATCAACCTCCCCGACGACCTCACACGGCATCTCGGCATAAGCTGAAGTGCGGGAGTACTGCACGCTAGCGTTCCTCAGACCCCTCACTACAAGTCCGGCAGTGATCTAACCGATTGATACTCTATGGTTAAATTCAGCATTTCATGAAGTGGAATATTTTCGAGACGGAGGATGAGGTCAACGAAGCATTGACGACTTTTTAAAGCTCCTATTATTTTGGGTAGAAAAATCAACAAGCTGTTTGAGCAGGCATTGAGTGTAGCAAGGGATGGTGCACGTTCCCCATCCCCAGATCGGTACTTTATCGAAATATATGCAAAAATAGTGGGCTAGCAACTTTTCGGCCGGCTCCTTGCCGTCAACGTTTCGGGATGCGCGATGACTTTGTAAAGGTCAACCAACGCAAGGCCATTCTTGCACCCACGAAAAGCCTAGTTATAAGGAAACCGTTTGGTTCAATTGGACGATACCAGCGTAATGGTCACCACTAGCCTTTACAACGTGCTTAAACATCTGTAATCGAATTAGAAGGATGTGTGCTGTAAATTTAATAGTGCCAGTAGTCTTTGTTCCAGGTCGTATATTCGATAAATTACTTTTCAAGTAGTCCTTTAGGTCCGTTACTGTGCGAAACCCAGTGTATCTTCATTTATTGCGGACGGTGAAATAGTCGCATGGAATGTTGACGCGAAATCGATTCTGCCATTTCAAGTTTTAACAACAAGAAAACGAAAGGTTTGCATGTTTATGCTCTTTGTGATATTTAGGTTTCGTTGCTCGAATTTCTGTTGGGGTTATCGTACTCATTTAAGAACGCTGATGATGCTGAGATCAAGGTGAAAGTTTGCGTATTTTTATTCGATCTGCTCTACCTCAACGGCGAGCCCCTTGTCACGAAGTCTTTTCGAGAGCGACGTTCGATTCTTCAGGAGCATTTCTTGGTTGGTGTCATCTTTCAGTCATGACATGTGCTAATCCTGCCAACTCCTCATCCCTCTTCCACCACTTTGTGACTGATAACAAGCTCAAGATTATTAGCGTTGCTTTTCTGTGAAGTGAGCGTTTATAGACCCACTGGTGCGTGGTTAAGCGCAAAAATGATATCGCGATCTCTTTTGAAGCTCGTGTGTTGCTCTAATTTTATGAGGGTGCGTCGCTAAGACAAAGAGGACATGCAGACACTTTCTCATTTCGCAGCGCCAAACATCGCTTTGGATCCCAGATCTACTCATGATCGAGGGGGGGGGAGGGGTGCACTTGAGGCTCACGCAATAGAAGAGTTTCGCGCTTTGAACAGCAAAGACCCAACGGTTCTAACCCAGCGGTCCACACCCAGTCTGTGATTTCGAATTACGTGGCCGCAAGAGCAGGGTGCGCCTAGGGTAAGCAAGAACATTCGAGGCGTAGACGTAGAGAACCCTCCGAGCAGAACGCGACTAGTCACCCTTGTAACATCGTGTTGTATGATCAACACGTAAGTATCTGAGCCAGACTAAAATTAACCGAAGTCACAACTGCGCTTATAAGGATCAGCATCTCAGCGCATGTTTATTTGATTCCCCTGGTGAGCATTCACCCCGGAACGGGAGCTCCATGCATCGGTGCATGGTTGTGAATCTGCCTCATGTGGCGGTCTAAGTAGTGATTACGATGGCGACGAAGTGGAGGCAATTGAGGAACGTGAAAGGTGTTGTGATGTGGTTTAATTATTTTCCGTTGTGCGCATGAGGACTTGGTCAAACTTCTCAAACCTCCCAACTTCTCAACGCGTTTAAGTGGCGTCTCCAAGGTGTCACAGCATTCAATCCATCATTATCGCCACCTTTGAAACGAGGAGGACAAGTAATTGAGGAACCAAGCGGTAGTCTAAATCGCTAAACACGATTTGTGGTGACAATAAACGCAGTGTATACCTGAAAGAAAAAACTATGTGATTGAATAGCTTCAGCCATTGTCAAATAATGTTTTAAATTAATCTCAGAAAAAAGTTCTCTTTCAGGAAATGGAAGGTCAATTTGCTTTCGCTAAAAGCCTCGACTCAACTGATACTGAGATCATTAACGAGTTTTTCGAGGAAGCTGTTAAGGTTTTTATGAACGATCATTCATGTAGTGGCATTTTGAAGGGTGCGACCCTTAACTGTGTCTTCCTTTTTCTTTCAGCTTATTTTCAGGGCAACTGCGAAGGTCTTATGATCAAGACGCTTGATGAACATGCTACATATGAGATTGCAAAGAGATCCCATAACTGGCTGAAATTGAAGAAGGACTATCTGGAAGGAGTTGGAGACACACTAGATCTTGTCGTCATTGGCGCTTATTTTGGGACTGGTTAGTTGACGATTTTTTATGCTTGATATCTTTTTCCGTTTCATCTTTCATCTTTCTTTCGTTGTTTCCTGTTCTCACACTAGTTTTACTCTTCGGCATATTTGATCTGTCTGAGCTTGTCTCGTGGTTTCAGTTTTTTCAAACCTTTTGTTCCTCATACGGTGCTGCGCTTGTATTCTCTTTTCTTTAGCTTTGTTTGCTCCTAAATGGGATCTCACTGCTTTACCCTGTCTTTTGGCCTCATGACATTCCTTTAATTGTGGTTGATATTGAGAGATCCAAGCTCCATCCTATGAGTGGATCTACGTCTGTAAACGTCACCTCCATCTCATTTTGGGCGGGCAGTAGCTATTTGTCAGGGTTGCGAGAGTGATGTGACTTCTACGTTGCTTCTGGATGATGATTATTCGCTCTATGATTTTCGAGGCAGGTGGTTGGTTGTAGTGAGAGTTCGGCGTTCATTGTGATTCTCTGATCTCTATTGCTTGTTTGCTTATGCGCTTCTTTTTTTGAGATTCCTTTTCATTCTTTTGAGGGTTCGCAGCGCGGGGTGAAGATCTTTGATGAGTTAAAATTATGATAGGCTACGGTGCGCTACGTCACCGGATCGGCTCGAGAGACGTCTTTTGATAGCTTTCAATCTCTTTACCGCGCTAGCGCAAGGTGTTCATCGAGCCGATGTTGTCTTCTGTGTCTGAACGAAAATATCTGACAAGCTTGCGAGTGGTGAAGTGATTCCAAATGATTTAACATGGGAAGCGCTTCTCGAAGTTCACATCCTTTATCGGAATAAATCCTGCACGAAAAGGGACGATGTTTCGTTCCGTGCTAAAGCAGGCGGAGATGGTCTTTTGGTGAAGTTGCTCGGGTTTTTTGTTTTTTTTTTTTTTTTTTTTTTTTTTTTTCTGACAATATACCCCCCTGTGTTTAATCTGGTTTGTTTATGGAGGGTTTTTTATGGACATTTTACCTTACAATGTGGACGCCTGTGCGTATCAAGAAACACTGATCATTTTTTCGAGGAGATTGAATGCTGTTAATTTTAGAGCCTCGTGCGGTATAGCTCTATCAAGCCGCGTAGGTATTCTTCGCTGTGGAACGCGTCCTATCCCGCATCCTTAGGGGATCTGCCTGCGTTCCCACTGTATGTTTACCCTTATTCGGCTTTCGACTTGTGTGGGTCTGTTTAATTGACTTCAGTGTGGGCACTGCGCCAAACTTCTTTTCAACCGAATGGATAAAAAACAGGCATTGAGTGTCCTGTATGCTCTGTAGTAAACTACTACTTCACGAATGCACTGTAGTGGCTACAGTGGATTTATTATACGTTGTGACGGGACATTGTGCGCGCATGGCATCACTGTGTTGTGAGCACCGTGTGGGGGACCGTGTGCAGCGCATGCGCTGCACACACAAATAATATTTATTTTTTTCGCGCATGCGCTACTTCTTTTCTAATTTTTTGCAACTATTCTATAGACTGCACCATAATATGACTAGACACGGCGAGGTTCATTGAATGGTTGAATATGCTCTTTTTTAGCGAAGGTTTTCTAAGCCCTACGAATTTCCCAATTGTGTTCATTCCTAGTTTCCTTTATATTCTGATAATCTTGGTCATAAAAAAGAGCAGTAGAAGTAAGTACAGACCCACACATATAGCAAGACATATGTTTTTAGTGGAGCAACCGCGTCAAAAATAATTTTGAGGTTCACTGCAGCAAAAGCAACTGAAACTTGCCTTTCATCGCCAGAAAACGTCAATTCGATCGATTTTTCACAGTTGTCCCTTCTGATAAGTTTGACACATCGAATATCATTCTAAACATTTTGTTGCATCCGAGTTTTGGGTATTTAAAGCTCAAAATTCACGGATTTGATGTGAGGCGGCGGCGCCTGCAAAATCGCCGTGGTCCCACGCGGCGCAAAAACCCAAAACGCGCGTTGTCGTCAACGTGTTAAGTGTGTTACGTGAATCATTATTTGTTTTTGTTTTTGTTTACTATAATGGTTTCAGGAAAACGCACTGGTGTATACGGTGGCTATCTGCTCGCGTGCTACTGCCCTGAGTCGGAGGAATATCAGAGTATTTGCAAGGTAATTTGGAACTTACATATATTCAGATCGTTAGTTTGTCCTTATGGTAATTTTCTCAAGGGGAAGGTGGTCAGTGTGTACGAGTATCAAGTATTGGTTGTGAATATTGTGCACAGAGTAGATATATATATATATATATATATGATGAATACACCTCAGCGTTTTGGTGCGCAATAAGATTCCAATACGGCTATCACTGCATTGCATTTGTGACATTACGTTAAGCGCCAGCACATCATCAGTTAAATATGGCGCCATAATTATATTCCTTGAGTCCTATTTTTGGGGCGCCTTTTTGCAAGTATGATGTCCGAATTCTTATTGGGTTAACGAATCCGGGTTTTCAATCTGTATGCGTGCTTAAAGAATTACTCTGTGCTATGCCTATCCGGGCGGAGGGGGGGGAGAATCTTTTCATTGTATTCGATTTTGCTCCCTCAGGGATGAGCGTATTCATACGATATTGCGTTAAAAATGTGCTGAGTGTGGGAAGATTGTTTTGTAGGGAACAAATTTGAAGGGGTTAATTTTCTTACCTTGATGAGAACTCACCAGCATAGGCTTGACATAATGAAAATCATCAAGAATCACACTTGAGATTGATTTTTTGAGAGGTCCGTCCCATGTCGTCATGCTATTCTGCAGAATCGGTAACGTACATGGTAAAGGCCAGATCATATACTATACTTCACCTGTCTTTTTCAGATTGGTACTGGATTCAGTGATGAGGATCTTAAGTCGCAACATGAGCTGCTGAAAGAATACGTCATCGAGAAAGTAAATATACTCAAGCATTCACCTGTTGAAGTTTTCACAAAATCCAAGGCTTTGGTAGCACTTCCATCCCATTTTCAGGCCCGACCCTACTACGTTTTCGATGATGCTTCAAAACCTGATATCTGGTTCGATGCTAATGTCGTTTTTGAAGTTAGTTATTTTTCTATCGATTCTTATTACTGTTATTTTGATATCTGTGTTCAGGTGAAATGCGCTGATCTGTCTATATCACCTCTGTATTCTGCGGCAATTGGTACAGTGGATCCTGACAAAGGGATATCGCTCAGATTTCCTCGTTTTGTTAGAATAAGGTTCGATTTTTTTTCACTGGAATAAGCTAAAAGCTTTTGATTACTAAAATTCCGGGAAATCCAAAGGGCGGTATTAATTCAAACAGTAATAGTTGCCAGGCTCCGCGATTGCATTCGCCAATGGGGCGTGGCGCGATCCTGGCCCAATGCGACAATAGCGAGTAGTGGGCTGTATGGTTCACATTGGTTGCTCCACCCCACTCGCGGCTGCAGTCGCGGAGTCTGACACCTATATATGGCGGTTCTAGGACTTCAATATCATTTTATAGAGATGACAAAAAAGCAGATGATGCCACGACTGCCGACCAGATTGTATCAATGTATATGAATCAATACCAAGTACGTAACAGTAAGAGTCAGGTCGAAGAAGAAGACGATGTTGAGTATTGAGTAGTAGTATCACAGTGTCAGTCTGCTATTATGGGTCTTTCTTTACAATTGAACATGCTTTATCTAACAACAATGGTAAAAGTCGATTGTATGGTAGTGTGTATTTGCAAACTTGGATGATCTTCATATGTTGTTCGTGTCTTGTTCACATTATGGAAATAAACGCATGTATGTACAAGTCGGTGTTGGTGAGCCTAGCCCTTGTACGAGTCGTGATTTGATCCCGGACCATGCGGGTAGGAAGATGCACAAGTAGGTGTTGGTAGGCCCAGCCGCTGCACGAGCCGAGATCTGATTCTGGACCATGCGGGTAGGAATATATACAAGCAGGTCTTGGTGGGTCTAGGCGTCGCACGAGCCGGGATTGGATCCTGGACCATGCGGGTGGGAAGCGGCGTCATTTGTCACTTCATCCCTTCCGCCCCTCCCATTTAACACAACCCGAAATCTTGAAAAAATTACTTTGGTAAAACTTCAGGGACTATTCTTTGGCATAAGAACAACATTCACTTTTGGTGCTGGTGCAATTTGGTGCAGTTTAACGCTATTGCGTGAAAATCTTCGGAATAATTCATAAAATTATTGAAATGAAAAAAATCATTTGCCAAAACAAACGTCCAAATTTCGAATGGACTTGGTAAATGGCCATACGTTATCCTAATAAGAGCATTTTCAAGATACTCCTTTGCTTCAGAAAAGCAGAAGTGCGTCGAGTGCAGACCACACACCACAAGTGACGACGTCCAAGTAAATCTGGTAACTAGTGATTCATAGTGATAGCTGATAGTTGGTAAATGAGAGTTGTAATTAGTGACAACTGAAAGAATACAAACGCAATTCTTACCCTCATTACCATCAGAATTTTGAAGAGGGGAGGGGGGGGGGTTCGACCGTTACGCTTCTAAAAACGAGGAAAATTCAACGTTATACTTGTACTGAATTTTTCGCGTTCGCTTTCTGTAACACCATTTTAATGTCCGCCATCCATCACTCACCGAAGGCTGATTTCACGTGTTATAATAAAGACAAACCACTAAAGACCACCTGTACTTGTGCGAAGCAACTAGCCTGCGGTTATCTGCCCTAGCATTGTTAAAGCAAACCGTATGAAATCAATGTTATCTCTTTGCACAAATCGGCTCTCAATTTGGCGCCCCATCCTCAAACACCTGTCAAATTTGGTGGCAGAATCAGGCCGGTGTCAGAGTCTGCGATCCGTCACAGGTTTCGCGCGACTGGTCACAGAAATCACAAGTGCCCAGTCAATACTGTAGGGTGCTCTCCAATCCCGCCTCCATTTTGGCTTGACGGTGATGGCTGAATGACAACTGTGCATGGTTCTAACTGTTTCATATACAGTGTTTCAGAGTCGAATGAACCTTGCGATTTTGCGATCGCGCAAATTTCGCGATCATCCGAACATCACCGCGATCTCGCAAATCTCGCGACTCTCGCGATCTCATGAATCTCGCGATCTCACGAATGTCGCGAATCTCGCACAAATCTGCGACGGGAGTCGCGATATGGACAGCCAGCCCCGAAGGTCAACTACCAGTTTCTTTGTACAGCTGGACTGCAGCTTCACTGCTGACATAAATCAATTGTGTATAGTTTTGAATGTTTCCACAGCCTGAAAAGTTTTCCTCGACGATTTTTGTTTATTTGGCTCGTAGATGTCGATCAGGGCTGCTCCAGAAAACTGCAAATAAGCATCATCGTCTACATTGTGTTGTACTCTGTTACATCTGCTTACAATGGCAACTTATCAAAATTTTAATGCAGCCATGTTGGGCAGTTTTGTGGTTGCAAGTGGCGCCACTTTCCACGTGCAGGATCGGATCTCGCCTGGGCCGGAGAGAGAAGAGCGTACCTGCGGCGCGGACTCACGAGCACATGCTGGTGACGTCACAGCTACGACAGATGCGATGAAAGGATGAACTACCTCACTCGAGCAGTAACGAGGTTGCTAGCATTTTATTTACTTGTACAATCAATAGCGCAATCAAAGTGAAATGATCAAAGTGTTATTTTTTGTGGAGTGTTCCAATTGTAGCACTCCGTAAAGAGAGCAATCACCCTCATACGTAAACCTTAAAGTGCACTATTAAGCTGAAGTTCATTCCTAAGATCGGTCTTTATTTCGCTTCCCTCTTACACCAACAATTAGTACGCAGTGAAGTTGAGGTATGATAAATGTAGCAGTACCTAATGCACTGAATAATTGGCGTCAGCGCCGGCTCTTGCTCGTTCCCTCGCCGCCGCTCTGACGTCAAAATGACGTCACCAACACGCGAACGCGTCCGCGCCGCCGGTGAGCTTTTCTATGGAGCCGCCTGGGCCATAGGAGCCTTCCATCCCTCCGGGTGGGAATTGTCTAGGAGTATGAAACCACTGAATTGTACATTTTCAGTTCCCTGAATTTCAGTATGCAGGCCAAATGGCACTTGAATGCTCCTGCCATTTTGAATTTGGATGCATGGCGCATCTCTGACGGACATAGGTTAAGGTCAAATGCTTAATCCTTTCTTATTTTCATGCGAAGCCGACGAGAAGAACACAATCAGAAGCAGTGCGGTGTCACTTAGCACAACCGATTTTGTCAGTAAAAATCGTTTCCACTTATGTATCCATGTTCGACTTTCAGTAAATCTTGGCATGGTTTGTGGTACTTCACGTCAGTTTCTTGAAACCGAAACCAAGATGTCAACAACTTTTTATTTGGCTTACGTTTCGGCCTTGTCGCCTTCGTCAGAGCCTGGAAAGCCAAAGATAGTGCGATTCATCCCCAAACATCATTTC